CAGAGCTTTATTTTGGTGGTATTTAATCACCACTGAGTTTTAAATTTTTTTGCTAAATAAACGGAAAAAAAAAGGAAATTTAAAAAAAACACATTTTTCTTCATTTCTGTTGTAAATTTTTGCAAATAAATAACCAGTCTTTATAAAATTAGGTCAAAATGTGTTCTGCTACATTTCTTTGGTGAATTTACCCCACATTAGTGTACAGTATATTATTTAGTCTTTAGGAAAGAGTCCACAAACTATGGTGTGTATATATATATATATATATATATCTGACCATTGATCAATCCTGATGTACTGATGGCCAATCTAATTTCTTGAGGCCTGAAAACGCCAGGGTTGTACTAATACCCCCCCCCGAATGACCTACTTTTGGAAAATGGACAGTCCAATGTATTTGGTAGGACGCATGGCAAGTTTTTTGAAGTTGTAATTTTTTTGTAATTCTTTGGAAAATGAAGAAGTTAAAAATTACACAACTGTTATTATAATCATATAACTGGTGTGGAGGTGATCAGGGACACTGGAAAAAGTATGTAAAAGAAAAAAAAAAAAAAAAGAATGTAATTTTTATTTTTATTAAATTTTCTTCTTTTTTTATGACTTCTTTTTTTACTGTTTTTTTTTTTCAACACGCTGTGACCAGAGCAATACAATATTACCATAGTAACCTTGTACTATAGGCAAGTGATCAGGTTTTTTTTTTTTTTTTTTTACACATTATGATTGCTAATACCAATGTATTTCAATGATATTAGCAACCTTTTTACTGAATGAAACTGATTCATTCAGTCTTTTGTTGTGATTAGCTGTGACTGGGCAAAGCTCATCACATGGTACATATGGGATTTGATTGGCCCTGTCTGTACCATGTGACCGCTGTGACCAATCACAGCTAACACAATTGTATACAAGGATGGCATGAAAGCAAGCCGTCCATGTGATACAATTGTCATGTGATCGGCTGTGAATGGTCAAATAACACTGGCAGCGGGCCGGTGTAGTGATCTCCCGTGGACCGCAAGAGCATCACCATTTGACAGGACGTCATATGACGCCCACTCAAAAGGAGGAGTGTCGCGCACGACTGTCAATTTGCTATAGACTGGGCTGGAAGGTGTTACAAAAAAAAAAAAGACAGTTTTTGGCATGATCAGTCATTTTTCAATATCCATGCCAAGATTTCTTGATTTCTGCCAGGGTATGCAAACTTTTGAGCACAACTGTATAACAAAATGCTTTTTAATGGTGTATATAACAGAACAAGAGAGAGCATTTCTATACAAACAAAGGTAAAGAGAAACTGGAAATTTTTGTATTGGTGATAATGTGATACCATGGTTCAGGAATGATCATATCAGTTCTTAGCATCACACCAGTCCTCCATTATATCAGGGCAGTCCCAGTATGGAAGGGCATGAAACTGGGCACTTCACATATGAGAACATCTTCCAGGTGCTATGGGGTCCAGATGGCTTATATCAGGCCTTAGCGCCTGCCTTGTTAACTGCAATGAAGGTGGTCAGTTCCTCCAGGCTCTGGTATGTTCTGGGCCCCTGGGTACCATCCAGGCATTCTGCAGTATGAGGACATAGGTGAGTACATGTCTTGATATATAACCAGAATTATAAACTGCTCTAAAAAAATAAAAGGAACACTTTAAGCCCTGGTTCACACTGGATGTGACTTGGCATGTGATTTGCATTCCCTGCGACTTGCAAATTGCATGCCAAGTCACACCCAATTGTCCGCAATTGGAGCGGTCATATCGGTGAGGTTCCGACTACTTTCAAAAGTAGTACATGCAATAGTGCATGTATCAGATGTCTTGCAAATTGCACCTGAAATCTGTGGGTCTCCCGACTTTGAAATCGTGCGACTTCATTGTAAGTCTCACAATTTCAAAGTCGGCTTGATGTGAACGGAGGGTAAAAACACGTCTCAATGGGAAAAAATATCATGCTGGATATCTATACTGATATGGATGGGTAATGTGTTAGGAACGTAAGGATACCCCATCATTTGATGGAAATGAAAATGATCGACCTGCAGAATACCGAAAATCAAAGTGAAAAAATGATGCAGCAGGCGAGTCCATTTTGCTGAAATTTCATTGCAGCAACTCAGATTGGTCCTCAGTAGTTTGTATGGCCCCCACGTGCATGTATGAATGCCTGACAACGTTGGGGCATGCTCCTAAGGGGACAACAGACGGTGTCCTGGGGTATTTCCTCCCAGATCTGGACCAGGGCATCACTGAGCTCCTGGACAGTCTGAGGTGCAACCTGGCAGTGTCGGATGGACCGAAACCTGATATCCCAGAGGTGTTCTATTGGATTTAGGTCAGGTGAGCGTGGGGGCCATTCAATGGTATCAATTCCTTCATCCTCCAGGAACTGCCTGCATACTCTCACCACATGAGGCCGGGCATTGTCATGCACCAGGAGGAACCCAGGACCCACTGCACCAGCGTAGGGTCTGACAATGGGTCCAAGGATTTCATCCCAATACCTAATGGCAGTCAGGGTGCCATTGTCTAGCCTGTAAAGGTCTGTGCGTCCCTCTCATCTGTGAAAAGCACAGGGCGCCAATTCTGTGTTCAATGGAAAATGCCAATCCAGCTCTATGATGACGGGCAGTGAGCACAGGGCCCAATAGAGGACGTCGGGCCCTCAGGCCACCCTCATGAAGTCTGTTTCTGATTGTTTGGTCAGAGACATTCACACCAGTGGCCTGCTGGAGGTCATTTTGTAGGGCTCTGGCAGTACTCATCTCGTTCCTCCTTGCACAAAGGAGCAGATACCGGTCCTGCTGATGGGTTAAGGACCTTCTATGGCCCTGTCCCGCTCTCCTAGAGTGACTGCCTGTCTCCTGGAATCTCCTCCATGCTCTTGAGACTGTGCTGGGAGACACAGCAAACCTTCTGGCAATGGTACGTATTGATGTGCCATCCTGGAGGAGTTGGACGGCCTGTGCAACCTCTGTAGGGTCCAGGTGTTGCCTCATGTTACCAGTAGTGACACTGACCCTAGCCAAGTGCAAAACTAGTGAAAACAGTCAGAAAAGATGAGTAGGGATAAAAATGTCAGTGGCCTCCACCTGTAAAACCATTCCTGTTTTGGGGGTCGTCTCATTGTTGCCCATCTAGTGCACCTGTTAATTTCATTAACACCAAAGTAGCTGAAACTGATTAACAACCCCCTCTGCTACTTAACTGACCAAATCAATATCCCAGGAGTTTCATTGACTTGATGTTACACTCTGATTAAAAAGTGTTCCTTTCATTCTGTATATGAAAAAAGCCATTTTTTTTTTAAATGTGTAAAACTAATACCATTTAACACTTAGTGCTCTTTCACACAGGTGGCATATTCTACCCCCAGATCCACAGTGGTTTAATTTTGTATTAAAATGCCACACCACAACTGGAAACCAAGCATTTAGCTCATGGTTATGGCATGCTCACGTTGACCTTAATGGGCACATATGACAAAAAAGCTGAAGGAGATCAGCAGCTCTGAGAGGCAACAAAGAATGGAAAAAGAGGTGAAAATAAGTATTTTTTTTTTAGACATATGGAAACATTCTAATACAGTGCTTTAGCAAGCTAAATGTCATTCAATTAGGCTCCATTCACACTAGAGCTTTTCAAATCGCGGAATCTGCCTGCGATTTGAAAATGCGCAGTAAATGTGTGAAAGAACACGTGATTGTGTTTTCAGGTGCCATTCATTTCAATGGCACCTGAAAACGCAAGGTGTTTTTGGCATGATCGCGGTGTGTTTTTCTGCGAGGCAAATGGTCCACAATCGCTCAAACAAAATCACAGGATGCGCAACACCCAAAAAACGAACCTTTTTTTGGGCGTCGCGTGTCCCGCGATTTTATTTGTGCGATCGCAGCAAAAAACGCCCTGCGTTTTCAGGTACCATTGAAATGAAGTGTGTAGTCTTTTATTAGAGGAGAGACATGCTGGGGTTGATTTACTAAAACTGGAGAGTGCAAAATCTGTGGCAGCTATGCATGGGAACCAATCAGCTCCCAGGTTTTTTTGTCATACCTTAACCACTTGCCTACCGGGCACTTATACCACCTTCCTGCCGTTGAATGACAATTGTGCCGTCATGCAACACTGTACACATATGACATTTTTATCATTTTTTTCACACAAATACAGCTTTCATTTGGTGGTATTTACACGCCGCTGGGTGTTTTATTTTTTGCACTATAAACAAAAAAAGAGCAAAAAATTATAAAAAAAAGTTTTTCTTTGTTTCTATTATAAACTTTTGCAGACAGGTAATTTTTCTCCTTCACTAATGTGAGTTGATGAGGCTGCACTGATGAGGTGGCACTGATAGGCGGCACTGATGATGCTGCACTGATGGGTGGCACTGATGGGTGGCACTGCTGGGCAGCACTGATGGGTGGCACTGCAGGGCACTGATAGGTGGCACTGCTGGGCACAGGTAAGCGCCACTGCTGGGCACTGATCATCAGTGCCCCGATGATCAGTGCTGATCACTTCTCTGACAATTGCCGGTTATCAGCAGCACTTTCCTCATGCTGTGACAGCGTGAGGAAAGTGCAGCCGATAACTGGCAACTGTATTTACCTGGTGAGCTGCCATTGGACACAGCTGATCACGTGGTAAAAGGCTGCCGTAATTGGCCGTTTACTGTATCACATGATCAGCTGTGTCCGTAGGACACAGCAATCACTGGCGGCGCCTGGTGCGCGCCGCTGGGGGCTGTGCAGGGGGCGTGTTCTGGAATGACGTCCATGGATGTCGTCCCAGAACCAGACAACCGCACTGTAGCCATCCTTCGGCTATAGCGAGGTAGGGAAGTGGTTAATTGAACAAGCTGAAGTTAGAAGCCTATTGACTACCATGCACAGCTACACAAGATTTCACACACTCCTGCTTTAGTCCTCATGCACACGGGACGTTTTTACAGCGGCTGTTTTTGGCTTTTGGTGGTTTTTTCTACAGCCAGTAAACTCCCCAGCAGGGGCGGTCAGTAGGGGGCCCCATGAGATGCCACTGGTACCTTTTTCATATTCTTTTTTTAGTTTGGGCAAGGACACAGGGGCCCCATGATCCCCTATTGCCCGGGGGTCCCATGAGTTGTCAGTCCGCCCCTGCTCCCCAGCATGTTATCCTATGTGTCCATACACACATAGACTGTAATTAGCGTTTTTTGACTGGAAACCCCCCCCCCCCCCGGAACTAATGGGTTTCTAGAGGAGTTTTTTTAGCTGGAAAAAAAAACGTTCTACCGCTGAAAAATGTGGTAAATTGTGGCAAACCAGTGTTTTGGAATGTTTTGTTGAACAAAAAAAAAAACCGCTAAAGATTGCAAACATGGCAAAATGCAGCTAAACACTAATGAATATACGCTGAAAAACTCAAGTTTTTAGTGCGACTTTACACTGCTAACGTTACCAGCGTTATTAAAACGCCCCGTGTGCATGGAGCCTTAGGTTCCATTCACACTTCAAAATCATGCAATTTCCATTGCAACTTTACAGTGTGACTTGATGTTACTTTGATACAATTTTGATGCCACTTTGGATGCAACTTTGCTGCAGACCATGTGACTGTGTGTGCTCTACAAAGTCGCATGTGTATCATTCAGGTGCAACTTTCATGCGACTTTTGAGGGTTTACATTGAAGTCTTTGACCTGCAAGTCTAATAAAAAAGTCAGAGCAGGAACTATTTTAAAGTCGCTGCAACTTTAAGTTGCACAGATATGAATTGTACTCCATTAGGAAACCTTGAGTGCAACTTGTCATGCGACTTTGGTGTCCAAAGTCACATGACAAGTCGCACAAGTGTGAATGGGGCCTTAGTAAAACAATCCCACTGTGGTTCTTCTGCAAAAAAAAAAAAAAAATTCTGTTTGCAAACTTGTGCACTGAGCTGTGCATGTGCAGCTCACCATATATTCTCAGCATGCCTCAGTGCCGATCAAAATGGAATTTCACCCTAAAGAGGAAGTTCCACTTTATGCACTCTTTCTCCCCTGCCACTCTTTGGGGGATGGGTACCTGGTTTTGACAGGGACCCGCTCCCACATTTGGTCCCATCACTGTGGCGGTCCACCAGACGTTCTCCACCCACCCGCAACCTTCTGGGACACATCGCAGCTCCCAGAAGGCTTGGGGACCATTCACAAAGCACAGTGCGGCTTGCACAGTGGGCAGCCAGCTGCCCACAGTAAACACGCCTGGAACCCAAAAAATCAGTGAAGAACTGGTTCGGGTGAGGACAGCACTGGACCCCCTAGACTGGTGGGTGTACTTTTATTACATTTCTTTCAAACAGGGGAAAGAGCCACTTTAACTCCTGTTCAGGGGCGGACTGACAACTCATGGGGCCCCCGGGCAATAGGGGATCATAGGGCCCCTGTGTCCTCGCCCACACCCAAAAAAGCCTATTAAAAAGCCAATGAAAGGTACCAGGGGCATCTCATGGGGCCCCCTACTGAGCCTGGGCCCTCGGGCATTGCCCTAGTGCTCGAATGGTCAATCCGCCCCTGCTCCTGTCGTATTTGTGGGAGTTATGTCATTCCAGGTCAGCCAATTAAGATAGCGGAGGATGCAGAACCCAGAAGATGTTGACTCTGGTGAAGCAGGTTGTAGGTATCTTATAGGTGAGAATTTTGGAGTTTAGTTTTGGTGTAATGTTCCTATATTGATTGTATTTAGGTCCCCAAATTCCTGCTTCTGATTCCCCTCATTACCTGGCTCAGTGGTGACATTCTCCCATGGTATCTGTGTTATCCCTGTCGATAGGGGGACCTGGATGTTCACCTTGTGCCCTGGAAATACATCAGAGAGGTCAATTAATTTTCACATTATAGCAAAAATCAGTTTAAAGTGGAACCCTAACTATTTAAAAAAAGAAAAAAGGCAAAAAACTAAATAAACTGCCTGTTACATGTTAGAATAAAGCATCTTTCACTGCAACAATTGACTTCAGTCCAGCACTGTCCCCTGCAGAGGATCTACTGATGGTGCTCCACTACTAGGCTGAAGGACACCCAACATCATTCAACCAACTTCATGTCATCTCCTGCTGTCACAGCCCTCCCCCCCCAAGGGGGTGTCATCAAACCAGCCCAGACTCAAGGTACTGATGCAATGAATGGCACTCAGACTTTCATTTTATTAAATTAAAAAAAATGTTCAAGAAAAAAGGGACTCGAAGCCATTATATTTTTCATTTATAGTTTTGCCTCCAATATTTAGAGAGGTGAAGGCATTATGAGATGGTTATATCCAGGGGCGGACTGACCATTTGGAAACTTGGGCACTGCCCGAGGGCCCGGTGTCAGTAGGGGGCCCCATGAGATGCCCCTGGTACCTTTTTCATAGGCTTTTTTGATTGTGGGCAAGGACACAGGGGCCCCATGATCCCCTATTGCCTGGGGGTCCATGAGTTGTCAGTCCGCCCCTGGTTATATCATTTGAGAAAACAGCTGAAGTGTATTTAAAAAGGACCAGAATATCATTATGTCAGCATTATCAAAACCTAGCCAAAGATCACATGGTGTCAGGCTACCATTGTGGGTGTTTTCTGTCAACAGCCCCTATCTAGTAGACCTACAGAGAGATAAGAGGGAGAGCAAAGCACAAAGCTGTGTCCTGTTATAATAGTCATAGCTCTGAATGGACGCAAGAATCCCGGGGGGGGGTCCCAGTAAATAGCTGCAGGAGGCAGCCCCATTGAAAGCAATGGGAAGTGGATGGCTCCTGCAGCCATTTGCATGTAATTGCTAATGCAGGGACCACTTGTGAGTGATTAGCCCCGAATGTAGGCTCTCTGCATCCAGGGCCGATCACTCACTACATGAGCTGTTACATGTGAGTGGCTACTATCAGCTATGGGATGCTATCAATGGGGTTGCCTCCCAAAGTTAATTGCCGGGAGCCGCCACTGGAATCCTTACATGTAACAGGTGTCATGCATGCACCCTTACTAAGCAGGATGGACGGCCTACATATACAGTCATGGGCAAAAATATTGTCACCCTGCATTTCTGTCAGATAATGCACCACTTCGCCCAGACATTTGTTGCAATTACAAATGTTTAGGCATTATCATGTTTATTTATTTTGTTTGTATTGGTATGACAAAAAAAAGTGGTAGAAAAAAAGCCAAATCTGACACATTCCACGCAAAACCCCAGAACTGGACAAAATTGGCACCTTCTCTAAATTGTAGGAAATAATTGCATTCCAAGTTTGTGATGCTCCTGTAATTTGTAATTAAATTCACGTGAATCAATTAACAGATCTTAATGTTCCTGTGTCCACTGTGCGCAACATTGTCAAGAAGTTTACAGCCTATGGCACTGTAGCTAATATCCCTGGGCATGGATGAAAGAGAAAAACTTGATCAAAGATTGCAACCAAGGATTAATCGAATGGTTGATAAAGAACCTCGATTAACTTCCAAACAAATTCAAGCTGACCTTCAGGCACAGGGTACAACTGTGTCATCTCGCAGTATACTTCGCCATCTGAATGAAAGGGCCGCTAGGGTAGGAGACCCAGGAGAACCTCACTGCTGACACAGAAACATAAAAAAGTCAGATTGGAGTTAGACAAAACTTACCTGAGGAAGCCAAAATCCTTTTGGGAGAATGTGCTGTGGACATACGAAACAAAACTACAGCTTTTTGGTAAAGCCCATCATTCTTCTGTTTTCAGAAAAAGCAATGAGGCCTTTAAAAAAAGAATACAGTCTGTACAGTCAAAAATGGTGGAGGTTGACTGATGTTTTGGGGTTGCTTTGCCACTTCAAGCACTGGATGTCTTGACCATGTACATGGCATTATGAAATCTGAAGACTACCAAAGAATTCTGGGGTGCAATGTAGGGCCCAGTGTCAGAAAGCTGGGTCTCCTTCAGAGGTCATGGGTCTTACAGCAGGACAATGACCCAAATTAAACGTCAAAAAGCCCCCAGAAATGGTTTCAGACAAAGCACTGGAGAGGACTGAACTGGCCAGCAATGAGTCCAGATCTCCATCCCATAGAGCTCCTGTGGAGAGATCTCAGAACAACAGTTGGGAAAAGGAATCCTTCCAATCTGAGAGACCTGCAGCAGTTGGTGAAAGAAGAGTGGTCCAAAATTTCAGTAGAGAGGTGGAAGAAACTCATTGATGGTTACAGGAAGTGATTGACATCAGTTATTTTTTCCAAGGGGTGTGCTACCAAATATTAAATGGAGGGTGCCAATAATTTTGTCCAGTCCATTTTTGGGGTTTTGCGTGGAATGTGTCAGATTTGGCTTTCTGTTTCTCCACTTTTTTGTGTCATACCAATAAAAACAAAATAAATAAACATCAGAATGCCTAAACATTTGCAATTGCAACAATTTTCTGGGCGGAGTGGTGCATTATCTGACAGAGATGCAGGGGCAGGGGCAGGGGCGGACTGACCATTTGTGAACTCGGGCACTGCCCGAGGGCCCGGGGTCAGTAGGGGGCCCCATGAGATGCCCCTGGTACCTTTCATAGTTTTTTTTTGGGTGTGGTTTGAGTGTGGACAAGGACACAGGGTCCCCATGATCCCCTATTGCCCAGGGGCCCCATGAGTTGTCAGTCCGCCCCTGTGCAGGGGTGCCAATATTTTTGGCCAAGATCGCATAGTGATCAAATTTGGCTTTCTCTATGTAATTTATCATTGAATTAGAAAATATAATTAAGATTATAATTAAAAACTCTGAAAGGAAATGAGGATTGTAAGCAGGAACATATACAGATAGGAATATTTAGAATAGTGAGCATGTATGTGATACATCTATTTATAACAAAACAAAGAGAAAATATTTCCTTTTTATGTGATTTTGGGGCATGTTGTAGGAAACTGTAGAAACAGTACTGCATAGAACAGTTGTGTTACCAATTACCCAATTACTCTTACCCAATTTGTGTTTTCTTCTTTTGCACAGGAATTTTCTCAAATATCTCATGGACACCACGAAGACCAGGACAAAGATAGCACCTTCAACGATGAGGATGATTGCTGGAATTGGCAGCCATGATTTTGATACACAGTTCAGTGATTCCTCAGTCTGATTGTCTGTGCCAGAGACTAGAGAACATACAGGGATAAATGGTAGGAGGAAATC